GTGATTAACTGAACTGCAAATTAAATTAATTAAAAGTTCTTGAAAATCGTTTAAATCTATATAGATTAAGAATCTAAAACTAAATAGAGATGTTTTTAGTTAATACATGATTAATAATGATTTCGATCCGATAGGTATCTCACGCTGTTCGAATTATTACCATAAACTGAAAAATTACCACAGTTTATCAGAATTAATACAAAAATAAATTTAGATAACATTCTGTTGACTAGTTCCAAAGTCAAAAATCCCATTTCGCATGGATGGCAGTGGTCGAATGAATAAAACCACTGAACATTAGTTGTTAGTGGATTCGTGCCTCACCACTGTGCTGACAATATGGAATTCCGGCTTTTCTTATCTAACACCTAAATAGATGACAGTTTACCATATAAATCCCGCCCATGAGTTGCGTTGTCTTATTCCATCAACGAACCAACCAAAAGCATCCATTAATAAGTAGAAAAGTGTAAACTAGCTTTGTTTTTTACTCCTTTCGTCCTATAAGTGGTTGGTCCCGACATATCCGAGACCAGCCGCCTACGAAAAATTCCTAGGAGACCTGCGATCGGTTCAATTCAGTTCTGAGTCTCTCAACCATCTGGCTGTCTAAGCTGATATTTAAAATATAAAAAGAAGAGCTTATTAATAAGGGTTCCATTAAAGGGATCTTATATATCCCACAGTCTTTATATTCGATGGTTGATTGATTTGATGAGATACAGCAACCAACACGTGGGCAATCTGCCAAAAGGAATACCTCCCGAGAAGACTTTCTATGGAAAATTGGGTGTTATACCCGTATAGAAAACCCAGAACACTCCACGTGACCAGTCCTTTGATTAGGTGTGAACCCGCAACAACTACTAGTGTTCGGTGGTTTTATCCACTCGGTCACTATCTTAGATAGACGTATAATTTACACATCACAGTTTATTTATTTTTAAATTCAAAAGAGACAATATTAAGTTGAAAAAATTGATAAATTTCAAGAATGCTCTTTGTTTTTATTATTATTAATTGTTATTATTATTTTATTTTAATATGAAAACGATTAGGCCTTGGCTAGAGATTTCCCACAGAAAAAAATCTAATTACGAGGTATATATTCTTATTAAGATCTTATTTTAAAAACCGACTAGAAAATCTTTAATGAAAATGACATCTCTTTTGAGTTTCCTTTGAACTCTTTTCGACCTGTGGGCACTAAGAGGTTCTTTCTTAAGGGTCAGACCTACAATGGAGAGGCCGGGGGAAAGTGTTGCTAACCTTCTATGTGAAAATTCCATAAACACGCCAGAAATTTTCCCTAAAACTAACAGAGTTCCTCTAAAAACTGAAACAAGTTCCTCCTAAATAGTTTTGCACCAGGTGCAATGCTTATGAAAAAAATTAGTCTTTTGACAATCCAGAAAATACAAATATTCACTTTAGAGTAGAGGAGGCATGAGCAAAGATGAGCAAAAGCCCCTGGGATAAAGTGACCTGCCCCGAATCTCGTCTCGAGATTATCGTGCGAGGACAGTCATTAGTTATGTGACTTTTAAGAGCTCCTATTCGTCGCTGAAATTCCCTTAACCAATACGAGCGGACTTTACAATTTCTTCCTAATTTCCCCCTAATTTTGGGGAAAACTCGTAAGGGAATTATTACCGGGTGGTGAAAAACGGGGTCCAACATATTCCGGAAGGACGGCCTATAAAAAATTCCTGTAATTCTTCGGCCGTTCAAATTTTGCTTTTAAAACTTTGAACTAGAGTAATCACATTAATAAATTGTTTAAAATCATATTTATCACAAAATCATAATCATTTTCGACAAACGTAAGCGTTATTCCGATTCTGAAGTAACATTATACAGGTCTACAAAGTTCCGTCACCGTAACCTACTAACCAGTATTTTCTTTTAAATGAGGTGAGTGCACCTAATGGGAATTTCACACGTTGAATGTAACCGTCTCATCCAGACGTCACTATAGGTGCCAAACATTTATTCACGTCAGTGTTACGTCAATGAGACGTGTGACTGATGTGAAACAACGAGTTGATACCTTATTTTGACTTCACAATGAGTGATTTTATACGTGTAATGTTCTAGTACGTTTTGTAAGAACGTGTTATAACCTTTAAAGGAAAAACACTATAGAACGTCACGCTACTTTTTATATAAATTTATGAAGGTTAGAAATTACATTTTTATTAAAAATATTTAACAGATCAGATTAGAGAATGTAAAGCAAACCAGATCTAAATTATATTAAATAAAAATTGAAAAATGATATTTTGTGAAATGGCTTGATGAAAGAAGGCAACGTAATACTTGGGTGATTTTGTACACTTGGGCTATTTGTATTGTACAAGAGGGTGCCTTCCGGGAGGACTTTCTATGAGAAAATGATCTGTATTTTACTTTACGTGTCTAACACCTTCAGTTTTTTCTTTTTTTTTTATAGAAAAACCTCCCTGAAGGCATCCGTTCCTTGGCACATCTCCCACATATTACGTTGCCTTATCCCATCAAACCAAACCACTTCTTTAAGCAGCTCATTGTCAAAAAAAGTTTGCCGATTCCTAATGTAAACTATTTAAATTAAGTAACTTCCTGAATATATACTTTAGAATAAATGTTTTAAACTTTTAATCAATAATTTATTAATGTTTTTCATATCAAAAATTCTGTGCAAACATTATAAAATGCCAAAGGCATAAGTGATTGATTGATATAATTTCTCATCTCTCTTTTATGAAAACTTAAAAATATTAAGCATAATGGCAAATTATTTTAATTACTTTTGAAAATACTTATCATATATATTTATTGAAAATAACTAAAATATATCACTCTAAATAGATAATTAATTATATTCTAACTCCCGTACAATTCGCATCGATCCCAACACACATCTCCATCATATATTAACTAGAACTCCTAAGGGAAGAAACGATCTGGTAGATCTCATTTAAGTAGGAAGACTCAATCAGGATACATAATCTCGAGCAAAGCAAATGTGTTGATAGTATCACGTAAACCTTCAGTGGGACCTTTTACTGAGTGAGTTCGTGACAGTTTCCAACACATTGGTATGGTTACTGACATAAGGCATTCGGAAGGGACACAAACAAATCCGTGGAGAAGGTACTGGCTGGAGAGAGTTAGCTCTTAACAGAGAAAAATGAGAGTATTTGCTAAGACAATCACGAACCCTCGTGGCCTAAGAACTAATAAATAATAATAACAACTTCTATGAAATTAGTATATGCTTTAATACATCATTAGTTTTTTTAAAAAGAATGCTAAAAACTTGAATTTTTTGCTTTAATTAATCAATTTTAAGGGATATTTAGATTAATTTTAATGTGTTGTATATTTTATAAACATTGGATAGTTATATGTAACCATAGTTTGTAGGTTAGGTATTTACTTATTTAATGCCTAATATATCCCAATACATAGCGTTACCTAATATAGCTTGTACATAGTTATAAGTAGCATAGCTAGAATCAATATTAGGGAAGGAGGTCGGAATAAGAATGTGTAAAACCCACGTTTACACTGTGGATGAAGAGTAAACTCATATATTTTATTATATATGTATATAAGTTCGTTTGTCACATTCAAATCTTTATCCTGTACTGTACAGTACTTGCTTTTTCTTAATTTATTAAGAAAAATCTGGACTTCCGTATTATGCTATTGATATGTTATGCTATTCGTGATATTTAATTGTTACCGTTAAAAGCTTATAATTTATATACTAATTCNGGTTACGTGCGATCCCGGTTTAAACAGGTTTTACTGTGTAAGTTTTTATATCGACTTGAATATTAAAACTAAAAATAACGATGCTATTTTTGTCACTAATTTCAAGAAAATTTCGGTTGTACTACAAGAAAAAAAAATATGTACTTTGAATAGGGGCATACAAGACACAAACTTATATTTTTAATTAATACTTTGATCTAAATTCAATTTTACCGAGCTTTAAAGGAAATAAAAGTAGGCCTATATAAAAATTTAATAATTTTAACTACCTAAGCTAAATATAATTAAATATTTAAATGGAACAGTCTAAATGAGGATTATTTTTTAATTGCTTAAAGTCAGAAAAGTTAATTAAATTTAGTTGAGATTTTCTATTAAAATATTACAGTATTAAGTTTAATTATCCTTGATAAGAATTCTTTTGTAAATGTTCGTCCGATGGAGAATTATTGTTTAATAAAATTGAAGACAAAACTGCCCAAAAAGGGTCACCATTTATTATTTGTGTTCCAAGACAATACACTTTTTCGGTGACTGACCTTTCTTTGTAGGCTGCTTGTCGCCGGAAAATTACAAAGAGTCCTTTTAAAAAACACAAAACATATCCAATTAAAATTATAAAAATTTCTGAAAAAGGAACTAGTGACATACAGTTTTCTTGCTTACATCCATCTACACCTTCTTTAGGTGTTTTGGACTACTTTTTATCTACTGAAAACTGAAAGAATTCTTTATTTCATTATTGAAATATATGTCGAGCGTACTTTAAGAAATCAAAGTATGTTCGACTCTCGCTAATCCGGGCACACATTGCACTGATTAGCGAGACAGTTGAACCTAAAGTCTTACTGAAAGCAATACATGACGCCCTGTGCCCTTTGGTATTGATTCTTTTGGAGGCGCGCTGACATATAATACTGTAAACAGAATTGAAACCGAAGTAACCAGGAAAACATGATGTGTGACACTGATTAGCAAGAGCCCACTTCAGCTCTAAATTAATAAATTCATTAATAATTTATAACAGATTTATACATATATAAGGATCATTATAAATTTAAAAGGGCATTATTCTCGTAAATATATTTAAAATAAACATAATTCTGTTTATTATACGAATAAATTATTAAATTATAACAATAAAAATATTAATTATCAGCAAGAAAAGTCTAGTTATAATTGCGTAAAGGACGAGTATAACTACTCAAATTTTTAATGAAAAAAGTTTACCTGTATTCTCTTTCGTCGTCGGACATCTTGGAACGTCTTATCTAAGAAATATATTTTAATCTTATTAAAACTTACATATAGAAGATAATCTATAAATATAACTGTAAGAGGAGAAGTAAAGAAAATATAAACATAAAAATATCTTTCTTTGCTCAACCAAAATGTCTGGTAGAGCGAAAATAAAGGAGTTCCACGGAACTCCTTTATTTTCCACGGAATAAATTCAGTTTTCGTCGATTATTATCGTGTCGAATTTTGTTAATTATAATTAATTTTAACTACAGAAAAGAATATCCTCTCGCTGCATAAATTATATCAATTTAGGTTGTCATTCATAATTTATTTCAGAAAAAAGTCGAGATTTTAATCACTAATTGGTTACGTGAAAGAGTTCTTTCTCCTTTGTGTATGCAAGAACGAATTTCCTCGATATCAAATGTATCCTTGGCTTTCTCTTATCTTTGCTGTATTCTTATAGCTTAGGATCATCAGATAATTTGTCTATTTTAATCTTCAATTGGAAAATGATAAAGAAATTAGATGAAAACTTTCCAAGATTGCGGAAATATCACGAATAATTTTTCGTAAAAGTCAATCTACACTACAAATCTTAGACAAGGATATGAATGCTGCACTTGTTTAAGACGTCCATTTTTTAAATTATTAAAAACTTTAAACATAAATGCTCTTTTTTAAGGAGAAATACGGATTAGAATTGGAAAAATGACCGAAATTACATGAAATGTTCCAATTTTCGAGACTTCGAGAGGCAAAATCGTGATTTTTCTCTCACCAAAACGTTTCTTTGACGGAAACAATTAAAGAACTTTCTTAAGAGTAAAGTATTTTTTAAATAAAGTTTTACTCACTAAGGTTTTTTTAAATGAAATAAATTATTCTAGAAATCGAACAAAAAGCTTATACGAACCTTTCAACCGAAACTTCCCAAAACTCTTCGTTAGATGTCGACACTCGGCTGCTACGTCATCGGCTCCACTTCTACTATTTAGCAAAGACCACCCCCACTCCTGACCAACCCTGGGTCCTCAGTGAGCACGTGCCGGACTCGATCTCACGTGCACCTCAACTTCCATAAAAGGAGGGAGAGAAATCTGAGAATAGACGTTTAACTCGGAATGCAAGCGGCTGGCTATTGTGCACTTTCTCGTGCTTCGTTCCTCTTCTCTCTATTAAATTTTCAGCTTTTTTGACAAATTTTATAAAAAAAATATTTATTTTTGTGTTTTATTTAAAGGGCGGAATGTTTAGACGGAGTTAATACCTCATCCCCCACTCATTCCCTGCCAACAGGAGATGAAAGTTTTGCTAACGTGTACACTTTGTAATTAAAAATTAATCCTTTGCCAAGTATCTTTTTCTTTATCCCTCGCTCCAATTGAGATTTTATTTTGGTTCTACCTTCATCTTTTAAAAAGTCACACTTTCGCACCCCTCTATATTTCCATATATCGGATTTTAAAGGTATAAATCTACAACACGCAACACACATTTGGGTAGAGTCCAGGGAGTTTTGCGGATGAAGAAGAAGAAAATCGACCTCCTACAGAGGACTCGAGGATTTTTAGATCCTTCATCTCGACCTTAGAATAGGAAAAAGGATGAATTTCGAACTTAAAATGTATAAAGATGCGAGTAATCGCTTTCGCCCACATTGCCTCTTCCTATCATCCGCCTATGACGTAAGAAAAATGTAAATTCTTTTAAATTCGTCACAGTATAGCTATTTTTAAAATGTTGTTGTACGTTTATCTGGAAGCAAAATGTAACAAAATTTGCTACTTGAATTCCATATACAGTTTTGCAGTTTTATTTGTGAAATAAACGCTGTTTAAACTCGAGACGACAAGTTACCTTCGCAGATTTTTCATCATCTTCTATGCTTTTATTCAACTGATTCGATCTGAATTTCCATAGAATAAAATGGAAAATACCATTAATGCTCGTGATTATCTTCATATTATATTTTTCTTACATATTTTGTATCAAAAGTTAATTTATTTTAATTAAATAATAAAGTATCCTTTTCGATTTCCTCTTCCTCTGTTCGAGCATTACGAAATGACCTCCAAACAACGGACACCTCTAAATATAAGCCATTTTACAGGAACGTTCTTTTTTAAACAAAAAATTAATACAAAAATAACCTCCAAATAACGGCCATCTCCAAATAAGCCTACTTTTTATATTTCCATCTGGCTATTGTGATTATCCGATCTTCATCCTGTTCTACAATATTCAAGGAGGCAAGGTCATAAAAATAAAGACCCTACGCTCTAGTTTGTTTATCTTACGCATAAATCCATCCCAACCCACTTTAAATATGAATGGGAGGAGGAAGCTTGAGTAGATCCATCTTCCTCCTCCCGAAATTATGATACAGTAAAACCTGCCAAGACGGAACCTGAATATAACGGAAAACTGCTTAAACGGAAAAAAATTCTTTGGAACGAAGCGATTTTCTGTTTTAAAAAACCTGTCTAAGACGGAAACCTCGGGAAGAATATTGGGTTACGTGCGATCCCGGTTTAAACAGGTTTTACTGTGTAAGTTTTTATATCGACTTGAATATTAAAACTAAAAATAACGATGCTATTTTTGTCACTAATTTCAAGAAAATTTCGGTTGTACTACAAGAAAAAAAAATATGTACTTTGAATAGGGGCATACAAGACACAAACTTATATTTTTAATTAATACTTTGATCTAAATTCAATTTTACCGAGCTTTAAAGGAAATAAAAGTAGGCCTATATAAAAATTTAATAATTTTAACTACCTAAGCTAAATATAATTAAATATTTAAATGGAACAGTCTAAATGAGGATTATTTTTTAATTGCTTAAAGTCAGAAAAGTTAATTAAATTTAGTTGAGATTTTCTATTAAAATATTACAGTATTAAGTTTAATTATCCTTGATAAGAATTCTTTTGTAAATGTTCGTCCGATGGAGAATTATTGTTTAATAAAATTGAAGACAAAACTGCCCAAAAAGGGTCACCATTTATTATTTGTGTTCCAAGACAATACACTTTTTCGGTGACTGACCTTTCTTTGTAGGCTGCTTGTCGCCGGAAAATTACAAAGAGTCCTTTTAAAAAACACAAAACATATCCAATTAAAATTATAAAAATTTCTGAAAAAGGAACTAGTGACATACAGTTTTCTTGCTTACATCCATCTACACCTTCTTTAGGTGTTTTGGACTACTTTTTATCTACTGAAAACTGAAAGAATTCTTTATTTCATTATTGAAATATATGTCGAGCGTACTTTAAGAAATCAAAGTATGTTCGACTCTCGCTAATCCGGGCACACATTGCACTGATTAGCGAGACAGTTGAACCTAAAGTCTTACTGAAAGCAATACATGACGCCCTGTGCCCTTTGGTATTGATTCTTTTGGAGGCGCGCTGACATATAATACTGTAAACAGAATTGAAACCGAAGTAACCAGGAAAACATGATGTGTGACACTGATTAGCAAGAGCCCACTTCAGCTCTAAATTAATAAATTCATTAATAATTTATAACAGATTTATACATATATAAGGATCATTATAAATTTAAAAGGGCATTATCATAAATTCATAATTGAATACAGTTGAACCTCCAACAGCGGACACCTAACAGTGGTTATTTATTTATTATTATTTTTATTTTTTTATGTGTTTGCCAGTGGCCGTTTTTCAGAGGTTTGATTGTATATAATTAAGAATTTGTTAATTTGAAAAGAAATATTCTGATAATTTTATAATTCATATTTTTGGGCGATGGAAGCTTAAAAACAAAACTAGACATAGCTAATATCTAATACAGTATATCTAATAATATCTAAAAAAGTGAGAAAAATTAAGCTTCTGTTGATAGGAAAATCAAAATTTAGGAGTATATAAATTAATTTATTTATTAAATTAGATAATTCAAGATATTTTAAGGAAATAACAAAGCTGTAAATACATTACATATGTCTCTTCCTTTAAATGATCCATTAGATACTTGCAATTGCGTTATTTTAATGACTGCCTGTAGGGCCATTGAAAGCTTGTATGGGCTCCAATTGCCCATTTGCAGGCTCCTTTAACCCCCTTTTTTGAACAAATGAAATACAAAGAATGTTTCTTCATCAATCAAAAAAGTAGCCTTACAGATTTTATTTATTTGTTGGAAAAAATAGTATTAATTTACACGGGTAGGAAACACTACAAACTCCTGTTTTGGGAAAAAATCTTCTATCGACGATCCTGAGCGTAGGTGTTTGAGTTCTCTGTAGAAATAATTATTGGATAAGTCTTAACCAAATTTGGTATTCATACTGCCCTGAGTATGCGATTTCCATTTTTGAGAATCAATTTTAATTAAAAATTCAGCCGCCAGCACAAAATCTTGCACCGCTATCCATATTACGTGCGTTTTCTAACGTATTTCGCGTATAAAAGGAGTTTCACAATTCTTTGACGGATAAAAAGTCATTCGTTAGAATATGTTAGATATGCACATTATAGATATAACAGCGCAAAATTTCTCCCTAGCGGCTGAATTTTGAAGTATAATTTTTTTCCGAAAATTGAAACCTCATACTCAGGACAGTATTTATACCAAATTTGGCTGACATTTTCCCAACAGTTCTTTCTACAAAGCTCTGACGCCTACTCTTTAATTAANCAGACGATAATAAACTCAACTTACTAGCCTAAAATCTCCGTAGCGTGTTGCCAGGCGGCAGAAAGCATATATATAATTATAATAAAGTTACAATAAATTAAGTTAATATATAATTATATATACTGTACCTAATTAATATATAATTATATGTACAGTACCTAATTTATATATAATACTAAACAGACAATAGCAAACTCAATTTAGCCCCTCTGTAGCGTGGCGCAGGGTCGGAGGAAAGTAGTTCCACTGCTCATCCACTATTGGTCCAGACTCTATCAATCTTGTCGCGAAACAACGTTGTAGGAGCTACCTTACACGAAAGTTTCTACAATTTTTTCACTACGTTATAGGAATTGTCGTCATAGGAACGTACGTTATAGGGGGGTCGACTGTACTTAATACTAACTACAATAAATTTTTAAAAATTCCTAAAAAATACTGGTATAAATAAAAAACCCAGGATTTCATGGCAATTAAATAAAAGACTTTCAATAATTAAAGTCAAAGCTATCAAATAATTTGAATATTAGGTATCACTTTGCTTATTATAAAATTTAAAATACTGTAATCTTCATAAAGCAACCCTATAATGGATTAAATACACTTAAATGTTTACAAATCATAATACAAGTTCTAATGAAAATTATCATTAGATAAAAATGCCAAAACTATCTCCAGTTTGTGAATTAATTTAAAATTGCAATATTTTTTAAAATGTATTTTACTCAATTAAAAATTCATGTAATTAAGTATTACAATTATTTAAATACTATAATAAATACATCATAATATTAAACATAACATTTATTGCATAAAATCTTACTGTTGAAAGTTTAGCTGCACAGATTTCATGCACATGTACACAAGATTTTATATTAAAATATGAAATTAAATTATATAAGTACATTAAAAACATGTAAAATATTTTTGTCTTTTAAAAATTGCACTTGATATGTATATGATAGCAAGACTCCAAATCATATATACTGTATGTACATTGCAATGTTATCATCTAATTTTACTTGTCAGCATAGATAAAGGAAGATTTTCTAAGTACTGACTTCTTACGAGTACGGCGTAACTGCTCTGCGTGAACTTCACGACTATAAGAATCCACAGTTTCCAAATTGAAGGGTGAAGATTTCTGGGTGGAAGAATCTATAATATTGTCTTCTAATGAAACTGACTGAGAGTAGTCCATTACTTCAAATTCTGAAGGAGAAGAGGAACACATGTCATAGTCTGAGTCCCACTGCAGATTACTATTTAATTCTTTTTCATCATCTGTCATACTAATGGTATTATTATCCTCAGATATATTAAATATTTCTGTAACTTTAACATTCTTGTCATCTTTATAGAAAAAGGCCATTACTGCCTCGTTGCTATTTGTCACTTCTAGTGCTTGTTCAAAAGAATCTGCATTTTCGGGTTCTATATACTCAATATAATCCTTTTCCCAATCCAGTACTTTGCTTGCTATATCAAATGGATTGGATTCTGTGCTATTATTTTCTAAATTCTTGAAAGCATCAATGACAGTCTTCTTTTTCTTTTCAGTGATGACATTAGGTTCAGCCAAGTCAACAGTAAATCCAAATTTCATGTTTTTGATCACCCTCTCAGGCATAATCTCCACCATGGATTTTCTTCGTATTGGTTGCTGGCAAGGAGTATTTCCAAATCCAGCATAAGACATTCGTTTCTGCCTGGCAGATTTGTTTCTTTCAGTCCAAGATAATTCTTTATTTCCAGTAGACTCAATCAGATTATCAAATTCTGGTAAAATGGAAGACATATCTTTGTTCGCATAATCAAATTCAGTAATAGCCAACTGACAGGAGAACCTGAAAATACAAAATAATTAGTGTAAATTAAAATAATATGTAAATTTTAAAAATATTTTAGACTTTAGTTTAAGTGCAAAAAAAAAAAAAAATTAAATCATGATTGATCATTATATAAGTATGATTATAATTTATATGTTCTAAAATTTAATAAGTAACTGAAGTACAGTAATATTAAAATATAATTTATTCATTTAAATCATTAAAGGTAATTAAATTATAAAAAAAAATTTAACATTGACTTCTTCAAATTAAAAGTTTGAGAGAGTTTTAGCCACTTTTTAAACAACATTCATTCATAGCAACAAATCTATGCAATTAATGGATATGAAATAAAAAAATGACTCGTATGAAGATTTAAAGAAGTCTATTCTCAAAATGTAAAAAAAAATATTTTTTCAGAATTTAAATACTTATGATCAATAGTTTCTAGTTATAGAAAATTTGATACATTACAATAATATGCAAAATCATTTTATAACATTGCATTTATAAATAATTTTCCTCAATTCCCTAAGCACTTTTTTTGCTCCTTCTTTCCTGTGAGCCCTAAGAGAGTCTTTTTTCCTATACCCATTGAGGGCCAGACCAACAATGGGTAGTGAGGGATGGGGTCCAACATATCTGGAATGGATCATCCATGAAAAACTCTTAGAATTTTTTACTGTCTAGATTTGATCTTGGGCTCCAGGCATTAGCTGAGGCCAAAGTGGCTAATGTCTTTTAACTGCCTTGGAAATACAGCAGTCACTCTGAGTATTTAAAATAAATACTTAGATTAATTTATAGATTAGTTTTATATCAATCTTCTCAATTGTTAAACCACTTGTATCCACCACATAAATTTATAAAAAGTTTCAGAGAAGCCAGGAAATACCAAGATTGGTAATAGAAGTAAAAATGAAACTTAACATTACATAAAAAGTTTTAATATTTCATATAAAAATGATCAAATATTGTTTTAGGCTTTTCCTATTTCATAAAACAACTGAAAAATGAAGAAATATGATCAATATTTTCTAAATTACCTTTCTCATAACAATAAATATATGCACAACCTATTCATGGTTATAAATAGTAAGAATACTGGACTTATTTGCATTTGAAACAAAACTCATTTATAACAACTAAACTATTCTACTTGAGTTATGATTTCTAAAAAGAAATTGGCTAAATCACTGTAACAGGTGTCTCTATATATTCCTGAAAGCATTACTCCTCCAAAAAATTGGAGGCAATAAATTTACATGCAATCAGCATTCACAAACATACAGCCATTTTGTAGGTCCTCCTTTGCAGCATACACATTGACCTACACATCAATGTGACAGTCATGGTAAAGATCTTGTGGAATGTTGATCCATGTTTCCTAAAGAACTGTCTTCAGCTGATCATTTGTTTGGTCTTGTGTTTTTACACCTCTTTCTTGAGGATATGTCAAAGATCTTTGATTAGGTTCAGATCCAGAGAATTTGGAATCCTGGATTCGATTTTGGAAAAGCCAAGTACTAGTGGAGCACAATGTGCAGCTTGGTAAGATCTTGCTAGAAGATTGCATCTTCCTGTGGCCAAAGATGGACTACGAAATACAGTAAATGATAATGCAAAATTGCCTGGTAGCATTCCACATTGACAATTCCATCATTCAGAAACAAATCACCAATGCTGGAATATCTAAAACACCTCCACATTCAAACCATGCTTGGTAACTTGACTTCCTGCTTCACACAGTTTTAGGTGAGTTGTTCATTTGGCTGGTGTCCAGTATTTCCATACATGACTGGAAAAGGTGACTCATCATACCAAATCACCCCCAGCCATTGAGATAGTCCAAGACAGGTGGTCGCTTGCCCATGCAAACCACTTCTTTTACTGAACTGGTATTAATATAGGCTTTTGCTTACCCTTGTATGAATTATATGCCATGTCACATAATCTGCTGCTAGCAATTCATTAAGATACAGGCCAGCCTATTTGTTCACTCCACAGTTTTTGCTATATTCATGGAAGCTTCCATGAATGTACCAAGTTGATATTTTATGACAAGCCAATGGAAAATTCAGTCTTTCCTGACAGCAGTCAGTGGTGATCTGCTATTACTGCATCCAGGTGCTGTAGAACCAGTTAATGTCTGAGAAAACTTCTGACAGACTGATTCTGACAATAAACTGGTTTAAACACAATTCTTAATCAATCAGCTGTATAGTTGTTTCATTTTGTTGTTTCTGGAGGATCATATAGTATATTTGCAATCATAGTTTTGTCTTGCCATTTTTACATTTTAAACAAAGAATACACAAGATTTTATCCATTTATTTGCACATTGCAAACTGGACAATACACAAAGCAGCAAAATATTTGCATATCCAGCCGAGGAATGTCTGGTGAATGCTGTTTGTGTGTAAATTTATTGCCTCCAATTTTTTGGAGGAGTAATGCTTTCAGGCATGTAGGGAGACAATTGTTACAGTGATTGAGCCAATTTTTTTTTTTTGAAACCATAGCTCAAGTAAAATACTTTAACTTTTTGTTAAACAAATTTTGTTTCAAAGTAAACGAATCCAATTTTCTTACTGTTTTGTATTAACCACAAATGGGGTGCATGTATATTTATTGTCATGGAAAAAGAACTTAAAATATGACTGATTACAATTATCAAGTAAACAACATGATCATAGAACTATATGTAATGTTTAAACTAATTAATTAATTAGATTTAACTTTAACTAAATTTAATTAAAAAATTCAACATATAATATAAATATACTTGAAATAAATCAACAATTAACACTTACTTTGCACTGTATTGATGCCTTTTGCTATCAAATTTATTCAACAATCCTTTTGCTAGTGATACAAATCCATAAAGACTATTTTTCATTTCAGCTTGTATAAATGGTAATAATTTCCATACTCTATAAGGAAATAAAAGTGTCGTGTTAAATATTAACTATTTATAATAGACTTGAATACTGATTCTTAACTATTAAAGATGTGATTAAGTTATAAATAAATATTTATTTTTGAGATTACTGATACAAAAGTACACAAAACTAAATTCATTTTTTTGTTAAAACTGTATCAAGTACTGTACAGGTAACCCCCGTATAACACGGTAGTTACGTTCCAAAAAATTGCTGTGTTATGCGAAATAAAGAACTAGTACGAAAAGAAGGGTTAGGTTCCAAAAATTAAAAAACATGCTATTATATTTTCATAATTAAGATAAGAAAATTTTAATAAAGATATTTAAGTGATACATATTAATATAAATTAAATAATGTTTTCTTCATTATCACTAAAAGCACTATTAACCGATGATAACTTGCCAAAAAGAAAACGGCGGGTTATCCTTATCCTCTGAGCATTTTTCTGCATTATCAACAGATCCATGCTCTAAAATTACATACATTTTGCATCAGACCCTTTTGCAAAATGTATGTAATTTTAGATTGCTTGCTTCCAGTTAAAAGATCTTCATAAATTTCCTCATATGGTGCTAAGCACTTATGAAGAATAAAGCAACTATGAAATAAGGGAAAAAACATCTGGCAACATCAGAAGCAGAAGCGTCCAGATCTGGTAACATGAAACAAGTTTCCAGAAGGACCATGTGTATCAACAGAAGGCGAGAAAAGAAAATTTACATACATAAGTAATAATAGTTCACGAAAATAATAATTTTTGTGAACTATTATTACTTAAGTATGTAAAAATTTATTACATTTCATGTTGTACGAGGGTTTTACCCAATTCTCGAACCATGTCAGAGTGAATCCGTGCTATAACAGTACCGTGTTATATGGGGGTGGTACCAATTCTCGAACCGTGTTAGAGTGAATCCGTGCTATAGAAGTGCTGTGTTATATGGGGGTTAGCTGTACTTTGAAAAATCATATTTTTATATAATAAATTTTTTTACAGAAGAAATAGATGAATTTATAAAATTTACAGATATATATTTTTAAAAATTTAAATCTGACTATTTTATATTATCTCAAATTTATATTTTCCATTCATAAAATCAGAAATTTCATAAAACTTTTATTAGTAAAATTAAAAATAAAGTTGTAGAAACAGACTTAATTTTAAGTTTGTTTTCAAAAAATATTAACTTTCCTGTTAATTATCAGCCCTATCTGTCATATTATCACAGTTAAATCAAGGTAATGTTAAAGTTTAAAAAACAAAACTTGACTGTTGTTGGCCTTGATTTTAAAATTAAATTTTAAACTCCTTCATATTGAAAAATGTACCTTAACATTAATTATCTGAATAAAATGCTAATGTCTAATGAAAAGCAAATCAAAATCTATTTAAAATGTAATGCTCAATAAAATATTCGAACAAAAATATTTACAGATTTGTTCTTCAATGTATAAAAACAGTAATCTTAAAACTGAATCTAGTATTCTTAATCAAAAAGGTTTTTTTAATTTTATGTAAAAGTATATTTGTAACATTAATTATAATAAAATAATTTTGATTTTATTAAAATTTTAAATTAAAAATTTTTAAATGTAAAAGTATAACTATAAATATAATATTATATTGGGACAGTTCATAAAGATCAGCAAGTGTATTCATCTTTGGTAATAATTTTGAAACAGTTAAATTACTGAAGATCTGTAATTTAACTGAGCCTCAATCATTAAAGGAGAAGAAATCTTGATATAAGAAAGACAATGAAATGCTGTCTATTAATAGCATATCTAGAGGAGATCAAACAGAAAAGTATAAAATTATCACTTGTCTGAGATCATTTCAAAACAAGCTAAACATGTTTTATAACCTTGAAATGCAAAATTATTGTTCTAAAAATAGTCTGTATCTTTATAATATACAGAATATTTTTAGAACTATCAGAATACAGAATATCAAATAATAAAATCTTTACAAGTATTATGCATTGCAAATTGATGATATAGAAAAAAAATTACATTATACAAAACAAACTCCATTTACTTAAAAAACAATCATTTTAATCCATTAAATATAACATTGCTAATAAAAAAGTTGTAAAAATTGATAACTAAAGGACCACAGTATTAATCTATTGGTATTAAAAATGAATTCAATATATATTTTGATTTAACAACCCAAAGAATCATTACAAAATTTAAATTTATATTTAAATTATTTTGATAATTATTAACTTTTAAATATTTTTAAAAGATATAATGTGCATTTCAATAAGAATCAATCATAATTTTGCTTTTGTACATTAAATAAATTATATTTTAAATATTTTGTTTGAAATATATATTAATTCTATTTGATTAACTAAAAAATATGTTAATAATGACTTATGACAAAGATAAATATAATATAAAAGAAATGAAAAACAAACAAAAATTTCTAGAGCTATTGTTTTTAAAATAAACCCTGGATTCATAAAAATTTAACTTATTAAAAGATGTTAACAGTAAAAATGTTCATGGTAAAACTTGTAAAATGATTTTTTCTTACATCACATCTAAATTATAAAAATTTTCTAAATTTGATTTTAAAATTTGCATTGAAGGATGAAGAAGTTCCTCAATGTTGTTGTTTTTAGTTCATAAAACAGGTTAAAAACAAAAATGGCTAGATTTTGTTTAGCAGTTTTTTAGATTTCTTGAACAGTTTAGTTTTGAGATACTAACTTTGTGTCTGTGATCAGTAATCTAATTATCATAATTAAAAACAACTTATTAAATAGGTGAAATTTAAAACGAAAAATCTGTTTGATTTAGTCAAACTCCATTTATATGTTTTTCATGGGAACTGAGAAAACTCTCATATAAGTGAGAAAAATGTATAAGTGAAACTACTTTTGCTTTAAGAGTGACTTTAAAAGTCACAAAAGTATAGCGCAGCACAAATGAATTTGTATACAGGGTGTATCAGAATGACATTTTAAAAATTTGGGGATTGTAGAGGATGAAATTTTGAACGCTTTGATATAAGGAACCCATGGCTGAAAATGTGATATAAAGTTTCTACAGCACTTTGCACTTTGCAGTCAGTATGCTGAATGAAACAGCAGAATACAGTATTTATGACAAGTTTTATTGACAAAACAGTAGAGTACAATCAAACTGTACGTCAAATCAGTGGCTGCACTACTTTAGAGTAAATGCTCAATGTGACGACCACCAACTTCGTTACATAATGTGCAACGACTAACCATGTTTTGTCTGACTCTCTGTAAGATGCCACGCTCCCTTCTGATGATATTAAATGCTGTAAAGATGCGCTCCGTAAGCTTATGAACTGTTCCTACAGGTGTTGCGTACACAAGGGACTTTACATAACCTCAGAGGAAGAAGTCAAGAACAATAACATGATGTCAATGGATGGAAGGGTAGCTACCAAACTGAAGGGATGTCAAGCACTTCCTACTACTGTAGAAACTTTATATCACATTTCTGGCTATGGATTCCTTATATCAAAACGTTCAAAATTTCATCCTCTACAATCCCCCAAATTTTTAAAATGTCATTCTGATACACCCTGTATAATACTGTACTTCTTAACAAAACGTTTCAATTTACTATATGCATGATAGATTTGAACAACATAAATCCCATACTGGTACAATATGTGACATTAATTATCTCTTCCTGTTTAAACTCCACTCACACGAAAAAATGATGAGTCATTCTAAAGCTTAGCTTGCATTGATAGCAAACAGTGAAAATGAATGAAAAACTGGAAAATGATTTTCATTCACATAGTGAAATTGGTTTGCACTACAAAATATGAAAAGTGAAAATTTTCAATGTGTTGGACCAGTAGAGCTATTTGCTAAATGGAAAAATTCATCAAAAATATCATCACATGTAAGTACATGATATGATTTGTTCTGATTTTTGCAAAAAAAGTGAAAAAGTGAATTATCATTTAAAATTTTTCCATTTCAAAGTAAAAAAATGCATAAGTGAGAAGAAAAGTGCTGTAGGACACTGAAAAATATGACATGTAAGTGCAAAGTCATTCAAATGAAAAATGTGTAATTAAGTGCTTTACAATGGAGAAAGCACCATATAAAAAATATTTAACATATAACTGCAAAAAATGTACAACTGAGAAACAAATAAATGGGGTTCAACTATCAATATATATGCTAATAATCTTTAGAATGATATCAGAAATGACAAATAACTTGTATATCAATGTAAAAATAGTTTGTGCATTTCATTACTAATTATAATATAAGTTTATAAAGTTTGAAAAACAATTTGCTTACTTCCAGGCAACAGAAAAAGTAAGTTCAAATGGCAGAACATAAGGAAGAACAAGGAATGGTAATATTTTTATTGGATGATGCCTAAAGAGATAATTGATAATGCCTTTGTTTACTTTATCAGAAGCTTCTTGAATTGCTAAAAAAAAAAAAAATTATTATTATATAAAGTTTGAAATTATTCAAAATCAAATATATGAAAAAATATAAGTTAATTACCTTTAACTACAGCTTCAGGTAAACTATCTAATAGTGCCATTTGACGTCTATACCTGCAGTCAATACAATCATCATCAGGGTGTTCATTTCTAATTTCAGTTTCTTTAGTCTCAACCTGTACTTTACTTTCTGCTATACCAAAACTAGACTGAACTGCCAGACACCTTGTGCATGATATTATGTCTGAAAATTAAATGTAAATAAAATTTATTATTTTATAATAGCAATAAACTATAATTATTCATTGGTTACCCAATATCCAATATATATTACTATGTTAAAGTGACAAGATTATTTTTCTTTCAGTTTATTTATTAACTATGTAAAAATAGAAGTAGCAAACTATCAAAATGTAACTTTAATTTAATCATTATAATTTAGGTATTATTACTATAATGGTGTTTATGCAGTGTATTCTATACATCATATATATTGATGTCTTATATCTTGCCTTTGGTCCAGCATAGCATAACTACAGAACGAAAAATGTTTTGTTTACATGTTCTGTGTATAAGAATTTCCTATTAGCATGTGTTATGGCAATCTTCTGTAGTGTGATGTTGTAAAGCTCTCATGTTTCTAGACTTTTTTGTAGTGTATGTGGTATGACACCTTTGCAACAAAGACTTGGAACAATAAATACTTTATTATTTTTATATTATTACTAGCAAATAAGCCTGGTGTTGCTCAGGCAAATGATTTGGATGATTTGGTAAATATTGTACGTTTGGAAATTAAGTTATTACTATCAAAAACAAAAAAAATCACATCTAAAATAGCACAGTAGAAGTCATTCTTCAGGTTAAGCCTTAATCCTTTCCCTCTCCCCCACAGGGGGGAATTTCGAAAAATCCCTTCTTAGTGTGCATTTTCATGACATACTCTAACTATGTACCAAATTTCACCTCTTTAGGTTCAGCGGTTTGCTCTGGGTAATGATGAATCAATCAGTCATCCAAGACATGTAACATGTAATTATATATATACAGTTGACCAACCCTATAACATGAGTTCCTATAGTTCAGATTCCTATATCACGGCAAAAAAATTGCGACAGTATTCGTACAAACATGCTAAAAAAAACTCCTATAATTCGGTAAAACATCATCACCGACTCGTGTCACAACAGGATTGGTCGAATCTAGATCAATAGCGGATATTGCACAAACCGTTGAGTTTAAACGAGCAGCAAACCTACTAAAAACCATTTATTTAACGTCCATAAAAATTATATTTATATTAATGATGTCTCCAAAGTTCAGCGAACTTTTTGCAGAAAAATAATTCATCAGGAAGCACGCGAGCGCCATTTGATGACAAGCTCCACGACAAAAACAAACTTAAGCAATGGCGTAGTCGAACGGTGCACACTCGGTAAGTAATCTACAATTTTTTGTTTATAGCATAGTTTATATGGATTATTCCCAAAAAATTATACGTATTTTGGAAATGTTGAGTCAAATTAGTCTAGAATCGATTAATTTTATGGAAGAAACCTTTCAAACAGCCATAGTCCGTAAACTGCATACATGCCGGGCTGTGATTGGCTGGACTTGTAGAAAATGGATTCATAAAAACCGGAACGTATCTACCTTGTTATAGGGAGGTCGACTGTACAAGCCAAATTGTATGTAAGTTGTACAGTACATACACTAAAATTAAGCTTATTTCTAACATTTATAAGTAATATGTGCAAAACATAAACCATGGGCTGGATTTAACTATGGGACCATAGTTTGGCCACCACTGATATAAATTTACATTTTTCAATTCTTTTCTAGGTACAAAATTTTTTTTTAATTCTATTTTAAACTGTCAACTAATAATTGAATATTTAAGCATATTGAATATTTATAAGAAACTCACTAACAAACATCGAACAAATTACTTGTTAATTTAGAACATTTAATTAAAAATTATTTCTTAAAACTATAAATCAGAAAAGAATAGTGCACCATGTAACTCCAGCAGTATATTAAATATACTGCTGGAGTTACAAGGCACATTGTTTCTTTTGTTTATTTCTCCAGTTAGATCTAACTTACTTAATAAATCAGAAACATAATTAATAGATTAAAAACAAAAATTGTTTATGAAATATGATAAACTAAAGAGAAATTATCCAGACAAATAAAAATTTAAATATTTTTGTTCTAATTATTATTGTCATAATAAAAATCAAATTTTATTGATTACATTTTCATTGCAATTTAATTATTTTCTTAATAATTTAACTACTTACTATTTCTCTGAAGAAATTTTAAAGCATCATCAAATCCTTGCTGACATATCTGACTCAATATTTCAGGATGTGGAGGAAATAAAGTACTTGCAAATCTATACAAATTACCAACTGAAATCTAAAAAAGTTTAATATAATATTTATTAAATAGTTAAATAAATATTTGTTATAAACAAATTAATACTTAGTATTTAGATTTATTTTTATCAAAAAATTAAAAATAAATTTTTATTTTCCATGTATTTTAATATAATCAGTATTAGTGAAAAAATCATTACATTTTGTTTTAAGCAATTGTTTAATTCCATATACTAAAATTAAAATTAATTATATACATATTTTAAACCATAATAATATAGTCTTTTACATTAATATCTTTAACAATTTAAATTCTTTATATTTAATTAAAAAAAATTAGTTACACACATAAATTTTTAACAATTTTTTTTTTTACATTTAAAATAAAATATTTCAATTCATAAACTAAATAATATTTTGTTTACTGTATTTACTTGCATATAAGATGACCTCGCATATATGACGAGGTGTGACTTTAAAGATCAAAATAAAGAAAATTAGATTTATTAATAAAATTCTAATTTTATTTCATTTAATCACAAGTAAAATATCAAATGAACGTAAATGCACACATTGTCCCTCAAAAATTATTGGCATTTTAAACTTTAAGGAAAAATCTTGTAAAATATCAACAATATAATTTGTTCATATAAAGCTGACAATCTGGAACCTTTTTTTGACCAATTCATTTACAGTCAAATCCACTCTCTGTCAATTGCACTTATCAGTTCCTCTGAATTCTGATTTCTGAATAATCATATGTTTTCACATGGGAATGGATTAAAACTTATATTGGGTTCCCATGTGATTTTGGAATTTCAATCTGTAATTCAATTCAAAAGCTTTGCTTTTCCTATTGCTATTCATCTTTACTCCTGACAATATACATGAATGATTCAAACAACAGATAAAATACTTATGTTTTTAAATACAAGAGGGTGAGCATCTGGTAAAAAATGTGAATCGTGTATTCACATTTTTTTACCAGATGCTCACCCTCTTGTTCACAAAAATTATGTGCAAAAATGCAAGGGATCTTTCGCTCATACGTACAGGACAACCTAGGTATTTGAAGCTGTGATAAATGAATAAAAATCTTGTCTTGTATGCGAGTAAATACAGTATATTTCATATTAACAGCTTTTAACAATAAAACTATTATTATCTGATAATACAAAAATGCCAAAAACAAAATCTGAGAAAAGTAAAGTAGTATTTAGACAAATAGTATGTTATTAAACTTTAGGCCAAATGTTGTAATAAATAAAGTAAACATGTTGTCAGATGGCATTAAAATCCTTTTTTATAACACAAGTACTTTCAATGATACAAAACTGTCATAATCAGGTTAATGAATATCTCAAATTTTGTTGTAAATTTTAAAATTCTCAGCATTTTGTTATATAAGATTTTGTTGTAAAAATACTTGTGTTATAAAAAAATTTTTAACACCATCTGACAGTGTGTTTACTTCATTTATTATTGGACAACAATTTAAAAAATTTGTAGACCTATAAATTCCCACTGTTGTCTGTCTTTCCTTAATCTTGAGAATGGAATTAGTTAGACAAAAGACAAGACCAGATATGGAAAGCTTAGGTGCAAGAGGTCTTGAATAATTATATATGCACTTCTGGTTTGCACCAGAATTCACGTTATTTCAATTCAAACATTTTCTCATGAAAATTGTTATATAGACGACCAGCACAACTCTATTGTTAAAAGAAAATATGATGTACAGGGGCAAGCCACTACTAATTTGAGATGGCGAGCATATATTTTAAATTAAATAAATTTAAAATATGATTAAATAATAATAAAATGATTGATTAAAAATTATAGCCAGGCATTGTGAAGATGTCACAATAAATATTTGCTTGTTGTAAAATAGTATTTTCTTCAAATTAAAAATTCCATCAAAATTTTTTAACTTAAAACAAACTTCTATTCATTTGCATAAATCAAATATGATTTATCAATAATCACAAACCATATTCAAGCATCTCAAAATTAAAATCAACAACAATATTCAATGTCTTTTTCATACGAAAGGAATAATATTGATACTGTTGTTTTCATACATATTTGCTGATATAAAGTTTAGGATTTCAAAAATAACTAAAAGTTACTATATTGATTGATAATCAAGACAGTTAAAGATTTAACACTCTGTATCATGAATATGATCAAACATACTGAAAAGTAATTTTTGACGAAAGATAAGATCTGTTGCCTAATAAAATTCCAATTACTTGATAAATGATCCGAATAAATGTTTCAAAAGATTATATCCAATTAAAAAAAAACAAAAAAAAATGTGTAGTGATGTAGATGTACTGTACATCACTATACATTCTATTTTTATTCTGTATTATACTCTGTACTATTATAGCACAGAGTATAATACATGGAGACCAAACTCTCCATATAACAGGAAATTACTACAACAAACAGTGAACAAACAGTAGCACCACAAAACTACATGCAACATAATAAATTAGATTTTGAGTAAATTAATTACTTTCAAATACAACAATATTTGCATTACAGTATTTATACTTCATGAAACTTTAAATGTACAATGCTTGATGTATCTGAAACTTGAAGCAAATGAGTTTCTAGATTATCCGAAATTTCATTTATCTGAAAGACCCTAGCCCATCAAGTTCAGATATTCAACTTTCCATTGTAATTAGTTTTGTTTAAACAATCATTGTTAGCAATTTTTTATTTTAAATATATAAAATATAAAATCTGAATATTTTTCTCCTCTTAAAAAAAAAACATTTAAACAAAATTATTATTTTAAAGTCTCTAAATCTAACTTTTAATCTTTTAAATTTTATATAAGTCCAAAGCTAAATGTTAGTTGCTTATATAAAAAAATCATTACAACTTACAGCAATACTGGTATTGGACATGTGTAACTGAAGTACATTAGATGATGTGTCTTCAGGGCAAATATCACTCTCTCCAGCAAATGGAGAAACAGTTATTGTATTTTCATCTAAAATAGGCTGATTGTTACTGAAACCTCCATCTATGTAAGACTAGAAATAAAGAAAATTAAAAACAGATTTTTATAAATGTAACCAACTATACATTTTATCATAAAATAGTTTAATAATAATGGTCTTTTAAAAATTTTTAGTGTAGAAAAAGATAATAAATTTAACAGTCAAGAGTAACAAGTCAAGCACATTATTTAAATTAAAAAACTTACAAAAGGACTATAGGCAGGAACCATGTTTTATTCTTTTCCATTAAATGTATTATTTTTAGACAATTCCTGTGTAGTTATTAAATTTATTTGTAAGGGTATTTTGTATATTGTTGGCATTTGAAATAAATATCCATTAAGCATATGATTTTATTTTGTTTGAGAATAATGACTGATATCTGATTTATTGTCATGGACTGTTTTGTTTTATCTGTAATTAAAAACTACCCATAATTATTATAAAATACAAATGCAAATTTGTATGATAATATATATTTATTTGTATGTATGTGCAAGATTTAATATAGTTTATGTTTATTATTTGATTTTTGATCTGCATTAATACTACATTTACTCAACAAACAGGTATATATGGTAATATGGCACCTTGAAGCAAAAGTGGATTTTGCACCCTATGTCAAGTTCATCCTCCCAAATAAAAATTCCAGAGGTACAGAGATACAGGTTAAAACATTTTATTGATAGTCACTTTTACAGAAACCTCCTCCTATTTAGATTTAAGATAATTGCATTTTCCTTGCTTTCATTTGATTAGTGCACATCTTCAAGGATTTTTTTTTGTAATTTCTGTATTTTACATTTATTTTTCCATTTTCTTTTATTTTTTTGTTTCATTTTTTTTCTTTGTTTTTAATGCCTCTGCACTTTCAGCATCTCATCTTGGGCCATGTGCCCCATTTGTCCCATTAAAAAGCTGACCGATGACAATAAAAGATAATCAAGATAAGATTTATCCCAACAATAGAAATCAAGACATGTGCATAAGAAATTTGAGTTAATTTAGATTGATACAATGTTATTCTTCTAGTTATTAATTCCAGAAGAGGACACAAGCAATACATCTACTAGGATAGATATGAAAATTCTGCAATTAGATGTTTTGCAGTTATAATTGCTGGCATTAATTAAACAATAACATGAGTGTCTTCAGTAATATCATAAAAGATCTTGCACTTATGCAAATTTCTTGCACTTTTGAAAAATATACTGTAAAATTTTGCTTATTTGATAAAAGTTCACATAGAAGTTTATTAATAAAAGTATGGGAAACTCATTTTTCTTACATACAATTTGACTATCTGTTTTCACTTATTTTTTATAAATAGTAAAATATTATTTTATATATTACTTATACTCAAGTTGTTTTGAATGAAATGAGATAAAAATTATGTAAAATCAAAAAACAATGTGTATACAAAACAAAATGATATGATGTAATGCCACTAACCTACTTAAAGGTTAATTCCATTGCAGAAATAGTGCTAAAATAACCCAGTTATTAGAAAAGCGATTAGTATTAGCTAACTCAGTTCCATTCACAGGCTTTGTCAGGATTAACTTTCATCATGTAACTGTAATATAAGGACTTGCATCCTGATGTAATATATTATATTGCTTCAGGTATTTGTGACATTTTCCATATATTAAAATATACATTTACATATGATGTATCTTCTATAATTTTTCGTGTTTAAGACCTGGTTTTGTATAACAATTATGAACCAATAAATCTCCAAAACAGATATCCCTAAGATAACCAGTAATTTGACCCAGTTTTGCCTAGAGATGGGCAAATACTATCCACAAATACTTAATTACTCTAAAGCTGAGACTCCACTAGCATAAAAACGGGTATAAAAACCTTCGCCATAAAAACTTTTAATCACATGATCTATTTGCATTTGCATCTGGATTGTGGTGGAGGTCCAGCTAGCAAAGTTTTTACAGCAGCGATGCTGCCAAGTGTCGAAAGCAGGGCTGTGGAGTCATGTAAAAATCTACCGACTCCAACTCCGACTTTTCCTTACCAATCCGACTCCAGCTAAAACACCAAAACTCTACGACTCCGACTCCGACTCCACAGCCCTGCCAGGGCTGTAGAGTCGCGTAAAAATCTACCGACTCCGACTCCGACTCCACAGCCCTGCCAGGGCTGTAGAGTCGCGTAAAAATCTACCGACTCCAACTCTGACTCCGACTTTTCCTTACCATCCGACTCCGACTCCGGCTAAAACATCAAAACTCTACAACTCCGACTCCACAGCCCTGGTCGAAAGTAAATACTTCTTCGTACGTGAATTGGTGGAAATAAATGCATCATTGCTTGATTTTTCATAATTGTCAGAGTTCATAAAATGTTTTAGGCATCCATTCTTATAGTCAGGATGTCTCTTGTCATATAAACATGAATATTTTCAATAAATTTTTCTAAATCTATTTGAGGTCTTTTTGAAGTAGCCATGATAGAATGTACACAAAAGCTCGTTTCCCGCAATTTTTGCACAATGTCATGATGATGTAGTTCCACTGACTTTTGATTGGTTGAAGATACTGTTTTACGACCATATTTGCATCAAAAGTTGAACACTGCTCAACTCGCTTTTATGCTGGTTTTATAATTTGCTCAGGCATAAAATATCATGGTTGTGTGATTAAAAGTTTTTATGGCAAAGGTTTTTATGCACGTTTTTACACTAGTGGAGTCTTAATCTAATACTAGAAAATACTCAAGATTTGAGATCTCTAATATTGCATTGAAAAAAACAAATTCGAAAATTAAAAACACCTTCAATATTTCACCACATATAATCATAGTAATAGATCCAGAAATATCCAAAGGGGACTAACTCAAAAATTAAAATATCTGAATAATCTTTTATTAACACATGCATGACAAACTGCATTGCAGATGATCTGATAAACTGTATTTGTCATCATAAGTGTTTTTAAAAAAACAATTTAACACTTGTTCAAACATTTTGAAGTTTGAACAAGTGTTAAATTTACACTAAACTACAAATATAAATTTACATAATAGAAACAATTTACTAAATTTATTTGTACATTTTTATTTTAATTAAGTTCACTAAGTATTTAAATATTCAAAATCTGGTTAATATTCAAATTTTGGAAAAGTGATGTTTGCCCATCTTTAGTTTTGCCAAATCCTAATTAATGTCATAGGAACCTTCTAAACCAAGGGTGGCAAACCTATGCCATGCAACATAAAGACAAGGTTATAAACCAAAATTATATATCAATTATCTTTTCAGTTTTTCACCATACACCCTTTTTCAATCATTTTCTTTTACATTTACTCTAATTAAAGCATATTCATAAATATCATTATTTGAAATCTGAAACTTTGGGCATACATAAACATTTTTAAAGATAAGTATGCTTGCTATATGACATGTGGACTTAAAAAGGTTCGCTATCCTTGTTCTAGACCAATAAATAATTAGCAGTTTTATGCATAAAAAACAGACTATATCCAGATTAGTTGTATGAAGGTTTTAATGATATATTGTTTCTGTCTAGAACAGATCTTGCTTTATGTTTTTGCAATATTTTTTGTTTTCCTATAATGCTTATTATAAACAGATATTGACATAATAAACTTTTGTAGTGTCCATAAGGCCGTGTCTTCCTCTATACAAAAACCCAATCTTTCTCTGACTGATGATGATGATAAAGATAAAAAAATTAAACATATATTTTTAAGGAACATTTATACAGTATTATCAAAAAATGAATGCTTTTAATCTTTCAACTTACCACTCCACGTATTGTTGGGGGCAGAAAACCAGAATAAAAAGGAATGAAACAAGTACAGAGCAATGCCTTTAAAATAAAATAAATAATTTAAAAAATTTAAAATAAAATTCTAATTAATAGATTATTTAAATTTTATTTTACTTGAATAAGCTCATCTCTGCTGTCAAATTCTGATAACAATAAATTCTTTCCATCATTGCAGCGAGTAAGTGAAACGTGAAGACGACCAGTACATCTGAGATGAGCATCTTCTGGTAACAATCTAATTAATCCGTCATACAAGATTTTGTTGAGATCAAATCGTGGATGTAACGGACCAAGAACACGAGCTCTTGCTTCACCTGCAATCCTTAAGACATCACTTGTACTCTCACCTATAAAAAGATAATTTTTTCACATTTAACTCATATTCTATATGCATATATTTCAATATTAAGCATGAAATAAATATTAATTTAATTAAATTTATCACCAAATAAGTAATTTAAATGAATAAATTACCTTTATAATGTGAAATTATATATGCTTTTTGAAATAATTAAGTAATCAACTTATATTTATAAAACTTTCATAAGTGAAAAATATGAACAGACTATAAATAGGAAGAAAAATCTTAATAAAATCTAAATGCTAAGAAATTTTAAAATGGCATGTTCATATAGTTTATTTGAAAAGGTCCTATATAAAAAGATATTATTTGAAATTCTAAAAATGAATTTTCATTTGAATGAAATCATCATGGTACTATATACAATGAAATTAGAAAAGTAAACTATTTTTGTAACAACATAAATTATATATAGTGTGGTGATGAGCATTTTTTAAAATAACATCACAGAGTTGGATAATAACAGTTTCCAATTTAATAGTTTAGATTTCAAAATAAACAAAATTCAGCACTGAATTACAAGATAAACAATAAATAAATAACTGAAATCTTGAAAATACCATCATTTTCACTTTAAGGCTTCTACAACTATCAAATAAAAAATGTTTTAAAATGATTTGAATGATATTTTGCTACTTCCAATTGAACAAGTGAAAATAATTTCAAATTAAAAAAACTAAATGAATACACAAATAAAATACAATAATTTGAATCAGTATGAGTCCTTCTACACAAAATAATTAGAATTAATTAAAACCTTTAAAAGTAATTCTGAATTAGTCAGCAAATCTTGTCAAAACAGATCCAATATCAGTGACCTCCAAGATAATAAACATTTGATTATATATTTTCTATCTGCCAATCAGATAAATTCTAAAAGGCACTTTAATATAATGATTAATAATTACATTAGCCATGCAAATAATTAACACAAATATGTAAACATTTGAATATTTACAATAATAATTTTGTTTAAAACTTTATTGCTCAATGCACTAATAAAAATAAAGAATGTTACCATGTGTTCTCAAAAAATAAAACAACATAATTATATTGTTATTATCTGTCATAGTACATATGAAAGTTCATTATTTGCATGATAATCATTTTTGATTATGGGAAGAACAATAGAATAATGATAATCATCTGTTCCACTTGTTAATCAAAAACATAAAACTGATAATTTTTCTTTATAATGGAACCATATCAAAATTATCTAAAATCAATACGTTGTATTTTGTTTTAATAAATAATTTCATAAAATGAAATTTTCAATTTTTTTGGTTTAATTTAAAATGTTGGTGTGAATAAGCTGTAAACTTTATCTATTAGATACTTATGATAAAGATAACATAAGTTTATCAGATTTATATCTGGCCAAGTGCCAAAAAATTGTAATATGTAGACCAAAGGGATGGTCAGGTTTTTGAAACAACTATTTCATTTTTGATTATTGCAAAAAAGCCTATTTCCTTACAAATGTCAAATATTGCACCTATTTTTGCAAGTACGTAGTTTTATTTCATCACTATTTCAATAGATAGAATTACATAAAAAAAAAAAAAAAGGAAGCTTCAGCNTATATTAAAAACTGATTTCATTATTTCGTCAATAAGACTAAATAGTTGATGATTAAATCTGATTAGTGACAATGAATCACAAATAATTAAATTATCTATATTTCTAATATCTAATTCAATGTAATATCTTTTCTATATAACAATTTGAACATTTTGTTTATTAATTAAATATATGCAAATTATCATTTTCTAGATAATATTCCATTTAGTTTGCAATTCTTTCTTTTAAAAACACCACAATTGTGTGATGTATGACTGCAGAATCAATGTACTATACATTTTTACCAAATTAATTATTCACCACTGCTTTTTTCAAATTCTTTTTTTGGTGTTTGAATACTGATTCAATAATATAAAGAATTTCTTTGAAAAATTAAAAATATTAAATTTAAAAGTACAATTTAATAAAATTAATTAATACATTATTTATAATTCCATGTTTATGTAGATTAAATTCATATAATATGAAATGGAAAAACACAAAATTTTGTGTTTTAATTTTAATATAACAATTTTTTGGCTTATCATACATGAATAAGCCAAATTCTTTATTTAATTACTAATTTAACCTTATTTTATAACAAGTTTTCTTTTTTGCAAAAATTGTCTATCAGTCAAAATGTATTTTGGTTAAATTTCCCTCCTTGATAATAATAGCTAAATAAGAGCCAGTTTCCTAACATGAAGAAAACCCAGAAAACTCCATGTGACCAGTCGATTAGTCAGATGCAAACCCATGACCAACTATAAACGTTCAGTGGTTTTATCCACTTGGTCACTGGTGGACATATTCAGTTTTTAAAATTGTAAATATTAATTCTAACACTAATAATTTGACTTTAGTTATAGATAATATAAAACTGATAACAATGAAAGCGATTTTTAATTTATTTCATAAATGAGCCAACAAATTTCTTCTTGAATATATAAAATTTAATATCACCATATTAATATCTTGCAAAATTTAAAAAGTAATAATTTTTTAAATTTCTTAGAGTCATTTATCTCATTAAGATTCATAAGATGATTTTAAACTGAGATTATAATCTTAACACTTCAGATGACATTCATATAATTTTTTAATGAAATAAAATAAAACAATAAAGTTAAAAATGAAAATTTTAATTAAAAAAATAGAATTTAATATCAAAAACAGTTTGTTCTTCCTTCTTATACTGATTTTTATATAATTTTAATAGTTCTGATAGTTTGATTATTCATTTTAAAGTAATATTTTTCAAATCAATCAACTATATAATAGCATTTTAAATATCACTTCTTTTTGAAAAGGATTAAATATTTATGTTTAATTTTAAAAAAAAAAGGGGTTTTGATTCTTAAAATATCTGAATTTATAATACTGTATAAGGAGGGGTCATTATCTGCATGTAAAGAAAACGTATCCAATTTAAATACAAATTATTACCAAGTTAAAAGATTTTATCATATCATTATATTTAGAGGATAATAAAAATTTAATTTATTTCCTTATATAAATTACAGACTCAGATTTTACTTTACATTATATAATATACTGGAAAAGTTTTTACTTAATTACTGTTGGAACAAAATCTTTAAATTAATGACAAAAATTGTGTTATAATTATTTTTGCAATATTTAATTTTTACTTCAGCTCTACTTTATGTTAAGGAGATGCAACAAAAACTGCATTAAATAACAGTTACAATTTCAAATGGTATTAATAAATATTTTAATTTTGATAGTAGTGTTAATATTAAGATGGTTGTATTTTGAATAAAAATCTGTTATAAAATTCTTAGTACTTCCTAATGAAATGATATTACATTAAATTAATTACCAAAAAATACTGTAGTAAAAGAACTAATTAAACCACATAAGAAATTACAGTGTGTTCAGCACTTATATTTATTTTTATCAATTCTTAAAATGAAAACAGATGTAGACTAAAATGTGCTGTAATTAACACAAGGAGAAATTATAACATTTGTAGATGTTTGCTTAAATCATAGTCAGTGCTTTTTTTCTAAAAATACATTACTGCCAGTAAGCAATTATGGTGACTTAACATAAAGAATTGTTTTTACTCAGCAACTGCAAGTACTACAAACCAGAGTTCCTGCTAAAAAATAGCCCTGGTTATAATATAATTTTGTCTGATTTGTAGATAATTTTCATAATTTATGAGAGAAAAGTAATATATTTGCAAAAGTTATTTCACATGGAGAAATAATTTTTATCATAAATTTTGAGAATTTTATATATATAATAGGGAAAATTCATATGTTTAATTAAGAAAATAAATTTCTCAAAATGTTCCTAATTAGAAAGTAAGTTATCCTAAAAAAGTCATATATTTCTTAAAGAAAAAAGCATTGACACTTATTTTAGTTAATATTAAATAAACCATTGAAAATAAATGTTCTGTAGCAAAGAGGAAATGTGTTGTCGTTGTTCCTGGTAATTAAATATTTTTGTTCATTAAATGTGATTTTGCAATATTATATACTGAAATATGATTAAAAATAAAAACAAAACAACACTGAATTTTATATTATTAATTCTTCTTGAATATATCAATAAAATAAGAAAAATCAATTAATTTAATTTGTCTTTTTTCAAACATCTATAAAAAATTTAATAAATCAAGATGAATAACTAATTTCTCTTAACTTACTTTCATTTATACCCATACTAGTAATAAAAATTCATACTTTGTTGAAAAATTGAAAATATTTTTAATGTTAGAAACAATATTTATAAATTTGACAAAGAATAACTTTTAATAGAAATGAATCATAAATTAATTATCATAATTATTTTTATTACTATACAGTAACAGAAAAATGTAATATATAATGTAGCTTTACCATTACTGCAATTGAATTATTTTTATCCCTATGAACAATTTACTATTGTTCATAGAGTCAGATAAAAAATTAAATACATTGAATGAATATATTAAAAACTGATTTCATTATTTCGTCAATAAGACTAAATAGTTGATGATTAAATCTGATTAGTGACAATGAATCACAAATAATTAAATTATCTATATTTCTAATATCTAATTCAATGTAATATCTTTTCTATATAACAATTTGAACATTTTGTTTATTAATTAAATATATGCAAATTATCATTTTCTAGATAATATTCCATTTAGTTTGCAATTCTTTCTTTTAAAAACACCACAATTGTGTGATGTATGACTGCAGAATCAATGTACTATACATTTTTACCAAATTAATTATTCACCACTGCTTTTTTCAAATTCTTTTTTTGGTGTTTGAATACTGATTCAATAATATAAAGAATTTCTTTGAAAAATTAAAAATATTAAATTTAAAAGTACAATTTAATAAAATTAATTAATACATTATTTATAATTCCATGTTTATGTAGATTAAATTCATATAATATGAA